GAGGGCGCCTGGCAAACACTCGGACATTCGCGTGGTTCCTCGATAATTCATGATCCTTCGAGAAACTCCAGCGCGCGTGAGTTCCGCTGTCGTAACAGTTTTATCGTATCCGGGCTGAAGAGCTTTGATATTGACTAAGAACCTAGTTGGCACTGGATATAACAGATAATGTTATTGATATAATATCATACACTTTTCTTTGCTTTCACTCATCAGAAGTTCTTAATAATAACACAAGCAATGATGATTATCGTTACGGCACTACTAACTGCGATTCATTGGGGCTCGAAAATAATCCCAAGAATTCATATTCTGCATGTCATTAAAATCGCTTTACGATTGGCATAAATATTGCCACTGCGGTTTATATTTTTACTAATTTATTCTGTTTCTCTCTATTTTCCTTTAAGATATCAATGTGCAGTTTCCTTTGTAACATACATTTTTACAAGTCTTGGTTCACAACTACTATTTTATTTAAACAACAGCTGTGAGGACTGTAAAGTTGTTTTTGAGGATCGTTTTTAGTTCAAATACGGCATCAGCACACAATTGGTGGGCTAGGCAGTCAGCTACAAGCAGTGGCAGCAAGCACATCCCCCTCCCCCCTACACAATGACTCTAGTAGTCCGCTAATCTGCCTAATTAGCTGGGAAGGCCTATGCAAATATGCCTTGAGGGCGTATAATGTACTAATATAAAATGTTTTTAAGCAGTAAAGCTCCTAAGTTTTTTGTTTTTTAATTTTATAAGCATTAGATTTTGTGACGTATAACTTTTAGGTTGCTTTTATGTGATTTGGCGATGTCAAATGGGGAAGAAGGAGAAGTGGTGAAAATGTTTGTTTTTTAGCGCAAAGCTAAACAAAAAGACTGCACTCTGTTCATCACGGAGTTTCAAACCCTGGATTTTAGCGCTGTAAGTCCGTAGACTTACTTCTGATCCACTGGAGGAACGGATGAAAACACATAGTAAAGTTTTGATTTGATAATAAAACATGTCTCTCACTGGACTGTTATTAGGTGTATTAAAAATTGTCCAAACATTATTGTTACGTAACAAAGAATTAGCCCGCACAGAATTTCTTGGTTTAACTTTTTATTCGGAGAATAAGTTCAGTGTCAATCCAGTAGCACTGCTTTGAAATGCCACAAGTGGTTTAGGTTTAGCCTCTTTTATTGTGTCACATCAATCGACTAAATTATTCCGTCAAACGGTAAATCATAACTTCTGGCAAACCGCAAGAATACACAAATAACTGATTCAGTCTTTCCATTTATTTGCAGAATACTATATGCTTTTTCATAACAATTAATAATAAATATTTTTAAGTGAAAAGAGACTCCAGGACCTTTGGCTAACTAGACCAATACTCGACCGCTGAACTACAGAAGGATACAAGTCATTTATTCGTTCCGTGGTGTAGGAGTTCAGATTTTTTAAGTAATCCATGGGTGCTCAGAAATTAAGTGATCTGTCTTCACCTGCTCATTGTTTGTAGGGGTTGTAGAATTCTTACATCGGAGAATAATAATAAAAAACAAAAACACTTGGAGTGAAGAAAGCTGAAAAGGTCTAAACCAACCATCATGCAATTCTCGTTCCGACTCTAAGTAGACTCTCATCTTATGTTTTAAGAACTTGTTTGTTTGTTTGTTTTGAATTTCGCGCAAAGCTACACGAGGGCTATCTGCACTAGCCTCCATAATTTAGCAGTGAAAGACTAAAGGGAAGGCAGCTAGTCATCACCACCCAACGCCAACTCGTGGGCTATACTTTTACCAACGAATAGTGGGATTGACCGTTTCATTATAACGCCCCCATGGCTAAAAGGGCGAGCATGTTTGATGGGATGGGGATTCGAACCCGCGATCCTCAGATTACAAGTCAAACGCCCTAACTGCCTGGTTTAAGAACTTAACTGCGCGAGAAAAGTTTACAATTTGAGTAAAATATAATAAAACCTTCCACTATGGGTAAGATCACCATATTATCTTGTGTTCTCATAGTCAGGCATTAACTAATTATAGCTCTGGTCCCGGAGTTTCTTTTCGCATATTAGCTTTTTCAATTTATATTATTTGTTATTAATTATTACGATAATATAATATTACTATTTTATTACTTGCTTTTCATAGTAATGGAAATAGGGGTACACATGAGTACATGCCGTGTACCTAGTTCTCAGTTTGCATTTTTCCCCATTGGTTAAGTTTAGTACCACTGAAGATCTTTATTAACCCTATCATCACGGGTCAAAGACCATGTCATCGT